CATTCATGACATGATCTAAAACCCCGCTCTTATCCTGTTTAAGTGAATGAGAAACTACTCACTCGTGTGGTTTTCATCTCTGTATGGGATATGGGACCATTATTTGGGCTCACACCTTATGTTCCTCGTGTGGGTTTCCTCCGTATGGACATAAGGAAGTGTGTTCCTTTGAATTGTACTTAATCTGAAAGTCTGTAATGGACCAGGATTGAGGGCTTGGCAGTCCAAGGGGACACCAACAAAGGACAATTCATTGACCCTTTTACCCTAGAGCTAAAACCAAGCATATAATAAACTTAGGACTCAAGTCTAGGCGAAACCTAATCCGAATAAGTATTTTAAGAAAAGCACACAAGGAAAAGTTGTATGTTACTTTGTTTAAATAAACACATGTGAACTAGAAATCATGCGGTTAGGCTTGTTATTCTGAATAAAGCATGAAACTAGATAGCATGAAATTAGGTTTTTAATTACTCTTAATTAATTTTTATGCTTCATTTTCATTTCTTCATTTTTCATTTTCATATCATGGTGTTGATTCGTGATTGATTTCATATAGAAAGCTGGAAATATGGAACAAAGAGTCCAATATGAAGTAGAAGACAATGCAATTATTTTAAGATGGTCTGAGTAGTCTCAACTTATCAAGGGAAATAGTCTATGACTTGGATACGTGTCAGATTTGGTCAGATATACACATATCAACGTTCGCCAAAATAACTTGGGTGAGTTGAAAGAAATCTGGGAAAAAGCGGACAAACAACTATTTTATCAACTATATGGTGACATTGCTTATCTTTTGAACATTCCTATTGACCGACATATGTTCAAAGCTCTATCATAGTTTTGGAACCCTGCCTACAGTTACTTCACCTTTGGCAAAGTAGATTTGACACCTACTATAGAGGAATATCAAGCTCTTATTCGCTTTCCGAGATTCTACGAAGATAGAGTATATATCAAGTCATGTAATACTGCTCCTTTTAAGAAGAAAGTGCTTTTATTGACCAGGATGAGTGAAGAATGAGCTGCAAGAAATATCAAAAGGAAGGGTTATAATGAATGTATTACTTGGACTGCCTTGAAAGAAGTAATTTACCGCCATCCAGACAAAAGAAAGCAAATTGATATGTTGGCTTTAGGAATTTATGGATTAATCATTTTTTCGAAGATTCTGGGGCATGTGGATATATCAGCTATAGATCTGTTTGAAAAATTAAACAAGAATGCAGATCCGGATCCTGCCATATTAGCTGAAACATTTCGTTCCTTGAATTCCTGTAAACGTGAAGGAGAAGGACGTTTTATAGGTTGTGCACCCCTATTATTGGTATGGATTCTGAATCATTTTAAATATGAAGAAAGAGCTCCTGGACGAGCATTTTTGGAAGACTTCTCAACTCTACAAGATTTCCTTTCTCGTAAATGGCCTGGAGGTTAGGATGAAGAAAAATGGATGAACATCTTTCGAAATCTCGAAGATAACAATGTATTATGGCGAGCCTCATGGAATACTTCTTCAAACATAATGTATAAGTGTGGAGAACACGAATGGGTTCCCTTTCCTAGCATATGAGGTTTTATAGGATATGCACCTTTGATGGTCTACAGACAACATGGATCAAGGCAGTTTATTCCTGTGACCTTTGGTTTATCAGAATCAGAATTTGCATTCAGAAGTGATCAATACAAGGAAAAGATCAAAACGGTTGCTGAGGCTTGGAAATAGATTCATCGAGTAAATTTATTTACTTCCAGTCAAAAGCTCTCGTCCGAATACGAGCAATGGAGAATCAACCGAGTCAACGACAACATTCCAGTGGTTAATTTTAAGAATGTTCAACCTATCAAAGAGCATTTAAGAATTATACCATCTCCATTAGAATTGGCAAAGTAAGTATTTGAGTCGAAAGAAAGCAATGGAGAAAAACTCTACAAAAGCTGGAAGAAGAAGTATACCACAAAGAAATTGAGATAGACATCCATAAAGGGAGAGCAGATCAAGTTAGCAGGGTTAAAAAATAGCTCATGATAGATTTCAATGATCTCCAGTCAACCTATCACCGGGTGGTAAACACTCAGATTATAGAAGGATCAAGCAAACAAGAGATAACATGTCTAAAAAGAAAAGCTGAAGAAGGTAAAGATGAGCTCAAATAAAGTAAACACCATGCCAAGATACTTGTCAAAGAAAAGGAGGCATTAGAGCAAAAACTATTGAAAAATCAAGCTAAAAACCAGAGACTAAAAAGCAAGATCATAAGATTGGAAACTACACTTCGATGTCAAGAAAGTAACTCAAAAGTTAAAAATCTTAGGAAGCAAGTGAATGAGCTGGAAGCCAAAGTCCAAGATCTTCAGAGAAAGGCGAATCAATTCCCTATTGTCCCGTACGAAGGAATTTTGCAATGGCGTTATCGTTGGGAACACACTCAATGGAAATTCAAACAAAGAGACAACCTCATTGCAAAGTGTCTGGAGCAAGTTCAGGGAATGACACAATATTTAGTGGACTTGGCATACGAAGCTACCACTTTAAGTGAAGAATTGGAACCAGGAACCGAAGAAGCTCATAAGGTCTTTGAGTTACTTGAACATATACAACAGTTAGGAGAAGTTACTCAGATGTATATGTGATATTGTATCTGTACTATGTTTTAAAGCTTTGTAATAAAACTTTGTTTTAGTATAAAAGTTGTTCTGAATGAATCGTCTCAATATCAACACCTTGCATTTACATATTGTGCATAAACATTTTGACATTATATTTCTCATACTCGTTAATAAACATCCATATTCATTAAAAAGGGTTTTTTTCGAAGAATACTGGACCCCCTAATAATCTATATAATACTAGAAAAAGGGCAATGAACGATAAGATCACTCAAATTAAAAGAAATCAGCTTGAGATGCAAGAGAATTTCAAGAAAAATCAGGAAGAAATGAATGAACAGTTGATAAAATCCCAGAATGAGATGATGGAAAAATTTGCAAGCATGTTACAAAAGAAAAGTATGGACCAAATAAATGCCCCAGCCATTGGTACTTTCACTGAGGATCCTTTGTATCCTCCGAGCTTTACACCAAGAGCAAATCGTCTAAAACCTAAAGTAATTGAGGAGCCTTTATACCCTCTAGATCATGCAACATCCATGTTAAAGCCAAATCAAGAGCATTTACTCTACCAAGAAGGGTAAACATAAATTTACCTAGTGCTTCTATAAACTAACAACAAGTTGAGAATATTCTAGATTTTGATCAAGAAGAAAAGAAAGAGTCAAACACACAATTAGAATAGCTAGTGAAAGAATTTAGGGTTATAAAAGAAGGCTCTAATGTATATGGAATTGAAGCCAAGGTATTGAGTTTGGTATCTGATTTGGTATTACCACCCAAGTTCAAAATCCCAGATTTTAAAAATTTTGATGGTATGAAATGTCCTTCTACCCATATCATGATTTATTACATAAAAATGACGGGTTATATAGGTAATGATCAACTACTGATCCATTGTTTCCAAGAAAGTTTAACTGGTTCGGCCATCCAATGGTATAACCAATTAAGTAGAGGTCATATTAAATCTTGGAAAGACTTAGCTAAATATTTTTTGGAACAATATAAGCATGTGAAGGATATAAGGCCTAATCAAATGGTACTACAAAACATGGAAAAGAAATTCAATGAAAGTTTCAGGCAATATACCCAGAGATGGAGGGACATAGCTATACAGGTACATCCACCCATGGAAGAAGAAGAAGAAGAAGCAAATGTGCTCTTTGTGAACATTTTGAAAGCTCATTTCTTTACCCACCTCATAGGGAATTCTTTTAAAAGCTTTGCTGACAGAGTTATAGCAGGTGAAATGATTGAAATGGCAGTTAAGAGTGTGAAACTTGAAAGTGGTGAATCTAGTAAGAATCCATTTATGAAAAAGTAAGAAAGTGAGGTAAATGATACAAGGAAATATTAGTCCAAAAATATTACAGTGTCTCGACCTCAGGATATTGGATCTTCTACATAAAACTTTGCCAAACAAGAAATAAGTGAACCAAGGATAGAAAGAAAGAAACCTCAATTTGACCCAATTCCAATGATATACAAAGAGTTATACCAGATATTATATGACAAGCATATAATATCACCTTATCATGTATCACCCATACAACCCCCATATCCTAAGTGGTACAATGATAACTTGAAATGTGAATATCATGCAGGAGCTCATGGACATTCTATCGAAAATTGTATTGCATTCAAAATAATTGTTCAAAGCCTGAGAACAAAGAATATCTTAAATTTTGGTGATAAAGTGCAACCAAATGTGGCTCAAAACCCATTACCAAATGATACAGGAACAGGGATCAATGTAGTTATAGAGGAAAAAGGAAAGTATGTGATAAGGCGAGTCGGTGAAGTAAAATCACCTATGTTATGGGTATGGACTCAAATGATCAAAGTTGGGTTCTAAAAATATGATCTGTCAGCAGAACAATTAAATTGTGGAAATATATGTCATTATCATGGTTATGAAGGACATATTATACAACAATGCTTAGATTTTCGGGTTTTAATACAAAAAATGATGGATGAAAAGGAAATGGAATTTTTCAAGGAAATATCAGAAGAAGAAATGGATATTTACGCCTATGAAGGATCACCTAGAGAGGTTTACAACTCTAATCATCCTTTAATTATCACACCAAGGACTCAAGGATCTGAAGAAGTGGGAGATGTTATTCTAAGGAATCTGAGAAACAAGGTCCAGTTGATAAAGGGAAAAAGGTTGAGCTACAGTTAAAAGAGGATGAAACTGTCATCAATGAACCTGTAACTGAAAATGAAGCTATAGAATTCTTGAAGTTTCTCAAGCACAGTGAATACAATATTGTTGAACAGTTGCACAAATTGCCAGCTCGTATATCAGTTTTATCACTTTTATTAAGCTCTGAAGCACATCGTAATGCTTTGTTAAAAGTGTTAAATCAAACTTTTGTATCAAAGGAATTGCCTGTAAACAAATTAGACAGGTTGATTACAAATATACAGGCTGACAATTTCCTTTCTTTTTTCGAAGATGAAATTCCTTTTGAGATGAACAGTAGCCCTAAAGCTTTGTACATTACAGTTAAGTGCAAAGGACATATTTTATCTCGAGTGTTAATAGATAATGGCTCGGCTTTGAATGTAATGCCATTAGTGACCTTGAAGAAATTACCAATTTTTAGCACACTCATAAGAAGTAGTCAGAGTATTATCCGAGCTTTTGATGGAGCTAAGAATGAGGTATTAGAGAAAATCGATATTCCCTTAACTATTGGTCCGGCTACATATGAGATAGAATTCCTTGTAATGGATATTATACCCACTTACAATTGTTTGTTAGGAAGACCCTGGATTCATCAAGATGGGGCGTTCCATCTACACTACACCAAAAGGTAAAATTTGTAATAGATGGTAGGCTGATATGTCTTAATGCTGAAGAAGACGTCATTGATTCAGTCTCTACCACTGTTCCATATGTCGAATTGGATGAAGAAGCTATTGAATGCTCCTTCAGATCCTTGGAATTTATCAATGCAACATTTGTGGCTGAGGGGGAAAAGATGCCTAAACCCAAAGTTTCCAATTGCATAAAAATGGGACTCAGATTGACCCTGGGGAAAGTGGTAAAAACTGGAAAAAAAATTAGGAAGCTATTTGTAAGGGACAGTTAATCCAGTTTTACCTATCTCCAAGAAAGATCGATTTGGTTTGGATATCAACTAGCCTTAAAAGATAGACAGAGGGGCAATAAAAAGAGTCAAGAATTGAGAAAGACAAAGTTAGCTGGAGAAGATCTCACATGGGAACCAATGACCTTTCCACCATTAAATAATATTTTTGTGTCTGTAGGACATGTTTTCCAAGAAGATCGACAAAGAAAAGGGATAATTGTTGAAGATGCTTTGAAAGAAATGAGTATCAATGTCATATCAGATGATGAATTTGTAGAAAGAAAAGCTATGGGCATTTACCCCGCATCATTGGACTTTGAGTTAAATAATTGGACTGCGGAATAATTATCTGTAGTTTTCAAGTCTTTTTCAGAGTAATACACCAGAACTTTCACTGTTGCCTATACCCTGGGGCAATAGTTTGATTTTGTGTAAAGGGTTAAACTATGTGTTTTTCTTTTTCAATAAAGATGTATTAGTTACAAATGGCAATCATTTCAAATGCATTTTCATGATTATATATATACTCTTGTTTATTTTTCTTTCAGGAACTCAAATATCAATGACATAGATGCCGATAATACTGACCCAGAAATTGATTTTGAGCAACATATATGTCCTGAGGAAGTTGAGGGTTATGATGAAGGATGTGATTTACCCTTTGAGCTGTTAAAAATGGTAGAAAAATAGGATAAGCAAATCCTACCACATAAGGAACCTATTGAGATCTTAAATATAGGGTCTGATATGGATAAGAATGAGGTGAAAATTTGCACCACTTTATCTTATAAAGGGTGACAAGATTTGATTGAATTGCTGCAAGAGTACAAAGATGTATTTTCTTGGTCATATGAAGACATGCCGGGATTGGATACAGAATTGGTAGTACACAAGTTACCAATAAGGTCAGAATGTAAGCCTGTGCAACAAAAGTTGAGAAGAATGAAACCTGAAATTCTACTCAAAGTCAAGGATGAAGTAAAAAAGCAATTTGATGCTGGATTTCTTAAAGTAGCTAAATTCCCTGAATGGGTAGCAAATATTGTCCCTGTAGCAAAGAAAGATGGTAAAGTCTGTATGTGTGTTGATTATCGAGATCTTAATAGAGCCAGTCCAAAGGATAATTTTCCTTTGCCACACATAGATACATTAGTGGACAATACTGCTAAGAATTCTCTATTCTCATTTTCGGATGGTTTCTCTAGCTATAATCAAATCAGAATGTACCCTGATGATATGGAGAAAACAACATTTGTTAACCTATGGGGAACGTTTTGTTATAAAGTGATGCCATATGGACTTAAGAATGCAAGGGCAACTTATCAAAGGGATATGGTAACATTATTTCACGACATGATGCATAAAGAAATAGAAGTTTATGTCGATGATATGATTGTCAAAAACAAATCCGAAGAAGAGTATGTTGAGAATTTAAGGAAGCTTTTCCAGAGATTAAGGGAATCTCAGTTAAAGCTACACCCAAATAAGTGTACATTTGGGGTGACATCTGGTAAACTTTTGGGATTTGTTAAAAGCCAAAAATGAATTGAAATAGACCCATATAAAGTCAAAGCTATTCAAGATTTGCCACCCCCACGAACACAAAAAGAGGTTTGAGGATTTTTAGGAAGACTTAATTATATAGCTCGATTTATTTCGCAGTTAACTGAGAAATGTGATCCTATTTTTCGTCTCCTTAGAAAAAATGATTATGGGACATGGAATGAAGAATATCAAGAAGCTTTTGAGACAGTTAAGAAATATCTATCAAGTACTCCAATATTGGTACCACCTATCCCAGATAAACCTTTAATTCTTTATATATCGGTCTGGAAAAATTCAATGGGATGTGTATTAGGACAACATGATCAAACTGAGAAGAAAAAAAGAGCTATTTATTATCTCAGTAAGATGTTCACTAAATATGAAACTAAATATTCTTTGATTGAGAAATTGTGTTGTGCTCTGGTATATACCACTTGAAGGCTTAGGCAGTATATGTTGTATCACACTACATGGCTTATATCCAGATTTGATCCTTTGAAGTATCTTATGAATGTACCCGTATTATCTGGAAGATTAGCTCGTTGGAATTTTTTTATCAGAATTTGACATCTAATATGTTAGTCGAAAAGCAGTAAAAGGGAGTGCAATAGCTGAATTTATTGCAAGTAGAACTTATCAAGAATATGAGCCAATAAATTTTGATTTTCCTGATGAGGATTTGATGGCAATATCAGTAAGAAAATCAATTACATCCACTAATGAATATTGGAAGTTGACTTTTGATCGTGATTCGAATGCTTTGGGGCACGAAATTGGGGCAATTTTAGTTTCACCAAATGAAGAGCATTATACGTTTGCTAGCAGACTTAATTTTTCCAAAAGTTTCAAATGATCATCGCTTCATTTTGGTAGCAATAGACTATTTTACCAAATGGGTAGAAACAACTTCTTATGCAAACATTACTCAGTCCAAAGTCTGTAAGTTCTTGAAAAAAGAGATCATTTGTCGATATGGTCTGCCAGAGAGAATTATTACTGACAATGCTTTGAATCTGAACAACAAAATGATGAAATCAGTCTATGAACAATTCCATATAAAGCATCATAATTCCACCACCTATCGCCCAAAAATGAATGGAGCGGTTGAGGCAGCTAATAAGAATATAAAGAGGCTTATTGAGAACATGACTGAAACTTATAATGATTGGCACGAAAAACTACCATTTGCTCTATTAGCCTATCAAACTTCAGTACGAACATTGACTAGGGCAACTCTTTTTTCATTAACCTATAGGATGGAAGTAGTCTTGCCAATTGAGGTAGAAATTCCTTCATTATGGGTTCTATCAGAAGTAAAGCTAGATGAGGTAGACTGGGTACAAACTAGATATGACAAGTTGAATTTGATCGAAGAAAAAAGAATGAAAGCAATTTGTCATGGTCAGATGTATCAAAAGAGGAGGATGATACGAGCTCATGATAAGAAAGTTCGCCTTCGAGAATTTTACGATAGGGATCTTGTGCTCAGAAGGATTTTACCTTTTCAAAAGGATTACCGAGGAAAGTGGATGTCAAATTGGGAAGGACCTTATGTTATAAAAAATGGTTTTTTTTCTGGAGGAGCTTTAGTCCTTACGGAAATGGATGGACTGAATTACCTTACCCAGTAAATTCAGATGCAGTTAAAAGATATTTTGCATGAAAGGAAGGATTTAAGGAACTCCATACCTTCATCATAATTTTGAGATCCTTTCGACAGAAACTACGCTCAAATAACTTTGTGGCGCGCCAGGTCAAAAGCATTTGTGCTATCGGTATTTGAGGATGACTATTTTGTCTTTACAAATAAAAGTTTACCATGTAAATTCTTTGGATAAATAAAAAATATATATATATATTTTCTTTTTAATTCTTTTTGCAAATCATCTTGATTTGAAAATTTAAAACATGTAGTTTAATTTGAAGTACATAAAATCATGGTGTATTACTGTACAAAAAGTCTTTGAAGAATATTGATATTCTGAGGCTAGCAATGTTTTAACATATGATGATATGAAACATGGGAGCATAAAGAAATTTCAGATACTTGATCTGAAAATTTTTTCATTAATTGAAGGGTTTGTCATTTGCACTGGTGAAATTCAAGAAGAACAAAAGCAGGATCAAGTTTGAAAAAATATATCAAGATGGTCAGTTAAGATGAAATCGACAATTAAAAGGGGTCCTTGTTCGAAGAAATTTTTTTTGTCATTGCACACATTTTATGCATAAACAAGATCATGACATTCATAAATGCATGATAGCAAACACAATGTAACATTTGCATGTTTTTTTGAAAATTCGAATCCCGAGATTTGATTTCCACGAAAGTGTAGTGGAAGCAAATCAACATTGAATCTGGTCTTCACAGAAGAGTAATGAAATAGATTCTTTCAAGTCAATCCGATCTCCACGAAAGAGTAGTGGAAACAAGAAATGCAATCAAGCATTCACAAAAAAGTAGTGAAACAATGCATATCCAACATTCACAAAAAAGAGTAGTGAAGCAAGATCAGATCAAAAGTTCGATCTCCACGAAAGAGTAGTGGAACAAATTTTTATCAAATATAAAGTCAATTAGATGAAAACTTATTGTTTTTTTATCTTTGCTTTATTCTTGTTAACACAAAAATAACCAAAGAGGGGCAGTTGTCGACAGTCATTTTCGTCCTAATTTGGTTTCAATATAATATTATAATATTATAATTACGTTATTTTATATTTTATAATTATTATTACTTGTTACAATTGTACATGCCCGAATGAAAATAGATTTAGACCAATTCCCGATTACAACCCGAAGCCTATATTACACGTAAATCTCAATATACTAGGACCCGGTTCAGGCCCAGACTTGATTCGAATAGTCTAGCAGGTCTAAGGAGTAAACCCTAAATGCTATTAGGGTTTTCACACAGGTTCCAGTGCCGCACGGATCCTAGCCAACCAATCCAGAGACAAATCTAACGGTCACCAGTGCAACCAGCAAAACCCTAGGGTACTCATTGTAACCCTAGGGCTATTCCAACACCGCCATAAAAGTGATGATGCCTCCGCCGTCGAACGCTCCAACCAGTACATGCCACGATGCTGTCATATCTTCTCCAGATCAAAGCAATATGAGTGCATTAAATGCACTCAGTTTCTTCACCGCACAACTCACCTTCCCTAGGGTGAGTCACCACCGTAGCTCCGGTGACTCACCGGGGTACAACCTTTTAACCAGTCCAAAGGGAGCTTCGAAAACCCCTATAAATAGGGTGAACATGTAAACTAACAAGAGGAGACAAGAAAGCAAACACAACAAGTATCCAATACACAAAATCAGAAAATAGAGAGAAGAGAGTGAAGGAAACGAAGCCTTACCATCATTGGAGCACCTACGCCCCTCCACGCGCCACCAGAGAAGATGAAACGCCGAAGGTATAAACCTTAGATATGCTTTGATTGAGGCTTATTTAGGGTAAACAAAGTTCGGTTTAGGCTTTAGCGTAAAAAGAGTAAATTTCTGGGTATTTTTATGTTTTTCGACCACCGTGGGTGGTGACCGACGGCGGTGGCTATCAGTGGCGCATGACTGTCGGCCGGTGATCGATCTTCCTCAGACGAGGAAACTAAAGAGAACCGAGAGAGTTCTCTCGGTTAGAGAGAGAAGAGAGGAGAGGAAAATGAGGCTTAAGGCTTGTATATATCCCTCCCCGAACGACGTCATTTTGGGGAGGGACATGTGCGTAAATCTAGGTATGGGCAAATTACACCCGCTATCCTTATAACCTTGTAACTGTTCATTTTAGTCATTAAAAAGTATGTTTTATACATTTTAGTTTTATCCTTTAATTTTATTTAATTTTATTTTAGTCCCTGACCGTAAATAAATACATTCCAAGTAAAATTATGTATTTTGTCCTTTAAATTTTAATTATTTATATCTACGTCCCATATTATAAATTAGGGTAAATTACATAATCAATACATATTTCAAATTAGATTGATTAATTTTACCATTATATACTTTAATCATTATTTATTATATTAATTATGATATTAATATATTAAGTTAATTTTATAATATGTTATTATAATATAATATTATAGGACTAGTAAATATTATTTAGTATTTATCTATATTAAATTATTTGTAAATTAAGAACAAATTTATAATTTATCGCAAAGACACTAATTAATAAATAACGGTATCAATTTTGGGCGTTATGGGGTGCTAATCCTTCCCCATACGTAACCGACTCTCGAACTCATTTTTTTGGTAAGCAGACCCTGTGAGGAAGATAAACACTTATTTTTTTGAGACTAGTTACACTCTTTGAGGTGTACTATTTGCACTCTCCGTCGTCAGTCAGAGAAACGTCTTAGACACTTCCGATTTCTGGTCGATTTCAACGATCTAAGGAAGGGCATTCGATAACGCATATATAGAGAGGGATAAAAATCAAATGTCAGTAGCAGCACTAAAAAGAAAACTGGCAGCCATAACCCTGGACATCTTTTCTTCTGGATTACACTTTATCCATATGAAGAAACTCACTCCCCAAAACAAAAACAAAAAAGATGAATCGAATCGAATCCCAACTCAGCTGCATTATCTTTCAGTCTGCGTTGTTGTTTTCAAAAGATTGCAGCTGCAGTGATCTGTATGAATGATGGTTCAAATTTTCAAACTTCAAATCAATGCAAATATGCAATGCCTCATGAATATTGAAGAGTCTGCTAATGCAATATAGATATCTAACATTTAAAACCCACAAAAATGGAGTTTGATTTTGACGTATGGTATGAAAGAAAAGTAATGAAGAAAAACAGTTAACAATTCAAAACTAAAATTTAAACAGAGATTATTAACGATAATTTGGTGAAACAGAAATACAGATTACCACGTAATACATAAGAAGAAAAAGATGTGAACTGCCTTGATGGGAATACCTGATTAGAGCATGTGGGTCTTCCGATTTCTGCTCGATTTCAACGATCTGAGGAAGGGAAAAATGACCAGTGGTCCGACAAGAAGAAAGTGAGATATAGTTACTGAACTCCATGATTTTGAATCAACAAACTTGCTGAAGATTCAGAGAAGCGAGGAGAAGAAAAGGATGAATGAAAAAAGTGACAAAAATCAATAAAAAAAAACCTAAGTAATGGAATGGTGGTGGTGGCACAGATTCTATCAGTCATAGGCTACAGGGAGAAAAACGATGATGATGAGGAAGAAGGAGAAAAACAAGAGGACGATAATGAAGATGGAGAAGAAGAATACATGACTAAGCTTGATGATGGGTTTTGTGAGATTAAAGCTATACTGAACAAAAAAAATTACGGATGAGGTGTGGTGGGGTTGGGGAAGGAGGGGTATTTTTGGTATGTTTTTTATTTTATTTTATTTATTATTTTATTTTTATTTATTTAGATAAAGAAAATAAAAATTAGGAGATGACATGGCTTGTTCTGATTGGTTAGTAAGATTTATTTTTAACGGAGTTGACGAAATGGGGCAAATAGGGTAACGACTTATAGTCGAGGGGGCAAATGTCTCAAAAAGTACTTTAGGAGGTAATTCGGTACAAACGGTATAGTTCAGGGGGTAATTTGGCATTTAAGCCTATATTTAATTGTTTTGCATTATGTTTGTAACGCCCCACACCCGGTCAAGGAGTCTGAGCCGGATACTTGAGCATATATTAGATTCCAATCGTATTGGACAGATCATGATCCACATTTCGCGAAATCAAACAAAATAAAATCTCTTATTATTCATCACATACAACGTTTAATGTAACTAACATGCAATTGAATCTCAATTAAACATGCAAACATTATATTTAAACTTTTAGGGGTATTTTGGTTATTTCACATCACATAATAAATCAACAAGTCAAATCGCCCAATTAAGGTTACTAAATGTTAAACAATGTCATAAGGAAGCAACACGTAAAATTTCATACCAATCGGACATGAAACAATCACTCAATTGATCATACAAGATTAGGGATCTAAACGTAAATATGCAAAAATTATGTACCAAACAATGACATGCAAATGAGAGTTCTATTATATAATTAAGTGTGTTAAAGAAGCGATTACTCAAATCTCATCAAATTCCAAATTAAGAGTTTAAGTAATTAAGCAAATCAATTAATGAGTTAACTTAAACTTACATAATCATTAAGGGGTCAATATTTCAGATCTTTAATGAATGCAATTTCACCTTTTTCCATCGAGAAAAATAGTGAAGGGATCGATCCTTTTCACGGGGGATCGATTCTTTGCAAAATAGAAAGTTTGGGATCGATTCTTTCCCCTAAGGGATCAATCATTTTCCTGAAAAATTGCAGATTTGCTATGAACATGCATATTTGATCAACTAATCACCCACATAAAAGTAATCATGGACTAGGAACATGCTTGGACATTATTCAACCACTTCATACATGTCAAAACAAAGGTGTAGCATGCTATATTAACACAAGTCTACACATTAATCAAGGATTTGGCACCAAAAGTCAACAATTGCATAAAAGTTCATTTCAAGCACAAATCACCTACTCATTTTAGGCATTTAAGGTCATTTCATGAAACCTAAGAGTCTAACACATTTAGTTTACCAAGTTACACTTAACTAAACACTCCAAACACTTTTTTAGGGTTATAAATCAATATTTGAGTAATCTCATGCTTCAAGCAACAAGTTCATATTTATAAATCCGATGTCAAAAAATCAAAACAACATCACATCCCAAACGTAAATCCACTTATTACAAACCAAAATCCAACATTATATGTCCAACAAAGTGAATAATAGGTATAAGTCTCAAACATCCCCAAATTACAACACAAAGTTTTCAAAAACCGCATACGTATAGCTTTATGCCATAGCCTTGCTTGATCACACCGATGCCAAACTCCTCGCCTCAAAACTCGAATTTAATCCTCTGTAAATTTTTAACGAGTGTGAGCTTACAAAGCCCAGTGAATGACTAACATTCAAAACAATGCACATAACCAAGATAAAGATCAATCCTATATGTTCATACGTAACTTGTTCCTTACTCTACACATATAATTCAACATCTCATACTTGAATGATCAACTAATATTTTCCAAATCACTTGATTTCCAAATTAAACAAACATCAAAGGACCATATAGTTCAAAAGAAATCACAAGCACACATGCGCAATTACCTTCCTTGATAAGTCACACAATCACACACATTTTTCTATTTTAAGATCAATGGCTTTTATCTGAAACACAACTCACTCATTGGATAAACATACTCCATACAACTCCTATTTTACTTACGAACTCACATAGATCCAAAACGACGAACTACAGAGTAAACTCAACGCCTAATCTTACCACTTATCTTCTCAGAGCAAAGCTTAACGTACCATCCAAACCTTGTATAATCCCGAATCACACACTAATAAAAGGCACATAGAGTACTCTTTCCTAGGCATGCCTTTCATATCCAAAGGTCATATTAAGAACAATAGCCAATTAATCCAATTCACCAAGAGTGGTTATCAATAATGCATAGTTTTCACATATCAATTCAAATATACTTTGAAACACACTTACGGATTTGGTTGTCATGATAAATTCACATATTTGGATAGTCAGAAAGTTCAACTCATCCAATTAACATTCAGAATATATATATATATATTTTCACCATTTCCAAAATTCTATGCATCATTTGCAATACATCATATTCACAATTCACATTCTCATTTCCAACGTAAGTGGCATCATATGTAAATCTACATAATTCATATTCCATCATCATAATTAACCAAATAACACAATATATATATATATATATCAGAATTACAATGCAACACTATACAACCTCAACCTTGAACCATGTTCATTTACTAAAAATGAGAGCCACTCATCTTGCTATCCAAAAACCGAAAATACTTCCAAACACTACCTCAACGTTCAACAAACTCAAAGCACCAAGTTTACTCAACCAACAACACAATAAGAACTTTGCAAAGCAAATTAACACATCAAAATCTAATCTAAAACAAAGAAGAATCCTCTGTTTCTAAAACAAAACACAATCGCCGAAAACACTGAAAACCTTACCGAAACGTCACTCCAAAAGATCCAAACCGAAACGCACGAATCTCCACAGTAAAAGCTGATAAACAAAAACAACTAGAATCAACATATAACTCATATAGAACCGCACAAAACAACATCTACAAACCTAAATTCCCGTATTCCCAAAAATACCGAAAATCGACATTGTTTTCAAGAAATCAACATCCAAATCATTTACGATCAAAAAATTGATTTAATATGATTTAATAACTCTAAAGAAACTCAATTTCATTAAGAAAACCTCAAAATCAATTCAATAAATTAGCACATTAATTAGCTTTGAAAATCAATTAAAATCTTAGAAATCCTTTCAATTAAATTAACAATTCAATAAAATCATTAACACTTAATCACTTACCCTCGAAGCTTGAAATAAAACCAAGGAAAATATCCTCACTTTGCTGGAAAATATATTGAAATTGAGATTATCAATGGAACTTCATTATGATCAAGCTTTAAAAACAAGAAGAGAAGAGAAGAGTAGAGAAACTAATCAGATTCGGGAGTCGATTACAGTTAAGGAAGGATTAGCACCCTTGTATTGCCCTTTCGGAACCAATTTGATTTCTTGGTTGTCTTAATTGCAAAAATTAAAAGTTAAATTAAAATTTAAAAGTTCGATCCAAATTACTTACCTTTGACCAATTAAAATTTTCCTAAAAAAAGAAGCCAAATTAATATTAAATATAAGTTAATTGGAAGCTGTAAGGAGAAAAATAAAAGTTAAGGGGTCAAATTGTAAAAATATAAAAATATAACAGGGATTAAATTGAATTAATTCAAAATTCAAGGACAAATTTACAATAAGTGACCAAAATGAATTACTCATCAAAATAATAGGGACTGCAGAAATAATTTAAAAATCTTATAATTACATTCTAGTCCCCACTATATAAAGCCCTTAAAACACCCAAAAATTTCATTTCTCAAATTTTAACCCTCCCTATTTTCTCAAAATCCTCTCAAACCTTTCCCCCAACTGATCATAGGGCGACCACACTCCGACGAAACCCTACCATCCCACCCACTACTCCGGCCACAACCTCCGGTGACCGAAAAACCTAAACACCCCCCAAAATGCTCCTCTCGTTACCCCAAACCTAAAACTGAACCTCAATTATTCTAAACCCCCAACCGACGTAGATCTACAAAAGAACTTTCGATTTTTTACCTTTTCGGCGAGACCTTTCCACTTCTCGGCATCTTCCTTCCTAGCTTCAGCGTTTATTCATTTTTCGACGATTCTTCGACGAAAAAAAACTTTGGTTTTTATGATTTTTTTATGGATATTCAAATGCTTTTTGGTTCTGGTTGCTTGGTATTTGGTTTCTTTTTCTCTGTGTTGCTATCCAATGTTTTTATGTGTTTTTGGTTGTTTTTGGGTTACTCCGGTGATGTCTTTTCGTCCCTTTGATTGGCTTCTCGTTGTGGTATTTATATAGCCCTCGTCGGGGCTATTTTCGTTCACTTCAGGAGTCGTTTTCCCTCATCCCCATTTTACTCGGGCTTGAGTTCGTTGTTGGCCGAAAATCTCGGGATGGTTTAGTCCCGGGTGGCTCCGATTTGCTCTGCCAAAATCTCGGTCGGTTACTGCGTGTGGCTACCTCGCTCCATTTGTGTGGCGCCCTTACTAAGTTTGAAACCCTGATCTGGCTTACTGGGCTTCCCGGGTTGGCTTGTTGGGTCAGACTAGCCTACCCGGTTGGGCCCCTTGCTCGACCTGAATTTGGACCCTTGCTGAACTCCTTAGAACTGGACCGAATAAAATTAAATAAATTAATATAATAAGTATATAATATAATAATATTATATATATAACATAATAATATTATATATAATATAAATAATATTATCTATATATAACATAATAATATTATAAATATAATATAATATAATATGTACTAAATATATACATATATACTATATAGTATATAGCTAATATAATATATACATAATATATAAATATAATATTTTACTATATAATATATATATATAATATAATATACTATGTACCATAATATACTATATACTATATACTAAATGTGTCCGGACGAAAATATGTCTACAATCATCATTCAAAATTTATAAAAAGGAAAAAAAAACTATTTCAATCTTAAATTTTCTTATAATCATTCATGGTTTTTGGTTACATTATCATTAATTTAAATTATCTTCAGTTAGATTTAATGGAAGAGCGGACGGAATATATGATCCAAAGCTGTCTGTATCATTAATTTCATGGAATCTCTCTACAATAAAGACCTACGTACTTTTCACTGCTTTTACTCACTGCAAACATTACTTCAAACATGCATATAAAGGAATGTTTGCAGTGAAAGCATATGAATATTTGAAGCAAGATAGAACCAGATTCGATGCAAATGGGTTTGGGTTCTCAGTTTTATTCCTATATATGTCCATTGAGATTCCAAAATGAGAGGTATATAGCATGTCATGTGCCTTTTATATTAATACTATGTTATAAATGTATGTATGAGTTTCACAAAGGAGGAGTGGTTTTGTGAATCAGCTAATGATTTCATGTTGTTGACGTGAAACTAATCTGAGGCGATGTGGGCTAGTATTTAGCATCTTCCATCAGTGTAATGTTCCTGAAGGTCTGATTTTTTTTCTTTCTTTCTTTGGCTCACAGCTGATCGATACTTTTGAGGACATTATTGGGGTTTGTATAAATAGCCGGTGGGATGGATTTTTGATGGTATTCAAAGGATCGGTAAACGTTAAATTTGACAAAAATTATCGATTAGATTTATTTAAAGGGTTATAAAATTTTAACTTCAATTCTTTGATATTTCTCGGTAACCAAACAGGCCTGAACTATCAGGTTTTAAAATCCAAGAAACGGGAAAAAGATAAAAGAGTAACTTTTAACGGTTTTCTTTTTCTTCCTCCGCCAAATTTTTTTTCCAGTTATTATATGTTTGGTTGTTGAGATTCATTTTTGTTATTTTTTCAAATTAATTTGATATTTGTTTGCTTTAGCCATTTAGACTCGAGATCTCTTTCTAGGGTTCTTTTTTTAGAAAGAAAGGGAAATCGCGTATTTCTTGAATTGATAGGTATTTGTTCAAATGAAGAAGCGGCAATGAGGAGCGAGGAAGAGAAATGGAGGTTAGATCTGAGAATAATATACAACAAGTGAGGTCCGACAAGTTTCCTAGTCAAGCGCTTCATCGGACTCGCCTTCGGGTTTGGTTTTTTAGAGTTTGTTCCAGCATTTTGCTTTGGACTTGTTTGGTACACATCGTCGCCGTCGCCGAGCTATGGCACCCCCGTTTGCTTACTGGTTTTACCGGCGGCGTTTCCCGGATCACGCGCCCTCTTCCTGATTTTCAACACTCCCTCCATGCCCCTCCCCTTCTTGCTCCTCCCGGTGAGTTTACCTCCGTACCCCTCTTTTCGTTCTCTTGTTTGGATTTTATTGAATTTGAGAAATAATTAGTATGAGGAAACTTGTAATTTCTTTAGGCTTTTAAGCAGCAACCTCAGTTTACATTTCACTAAGTTTCTGGGTTATTGATCATCTTCTTGAGTTACGGTTGCTTTGTGGGGAAATGGTTGTTTCTATGTAATGTTCTAGTCTGGAACCTCCGTAACTTATTCTTATTCGGCAATTGAGGATTTGTTCACTGATACCGAATACCTTATATATGAGTCCATTGATTTTACTGAAGGAAAACTGTTTTTGCTTTTTCATTCGATCTTGGAAAAGGTAATGCATTCATTCTTTTGTATATTTGCAGGAAACTACACAAGTAACGGTTTTCTTAAAGTTTCGTGCAATGGGGGCTTGAATCAAATGCGTGCGGCGGTCTGCGTCTTTTTCTCTAGCTCTTGTTTACTTTCTTTCTTTTGGTATTGTGTTTGTTATTAATCCGGTTTGGCATTTTTAGATCTGTGACATGGTAACTGTTGCCAGACTCTTAAATCTCACTTTGGTTGTTCCGGAGCTTGATAAGAAATCATTCTGGGCAGACCCTAGGTGTGTTTATCATTCTGAAAAGATTACATTGTTGTTCCCTTCTTACGCAGCTGCCTCAAATGTCTTTGACTTGTGATTTGCAGTGATTTTGAGGATATTTTCGATGTCAGACATTTTATTGATTCTTTAAGGGATGAAGTTCGCATTATCAGAAGGCTGCCAAAGAGATTTAGTAGGAAATATGGGTTTGAATCTTTTGAGATGCCTCCGGTTAGCTGGTCAAATGAAAAATACTATTTAGAACAGGTTTGTTGCTCATTATTAATCATATAGTTTCATTTTCAACAACAGGAAACTAATAATTCTCTCAATGGATGGATAAGATCGTGTCGTGTGTTTTCGATTGCCTTTGACATTATTTTACAGATTCTACCCCTGTTCAGTAAGCATAAGGTAGTACACTTCAATAGAACTGATGCGCGACTTGCAAATAATGGGATCCCACTTGATCTTCAGAAACTAAGATGCCGTGTTAATTTCCAAGGACTGAAATTTAATCCTCAGATTGAAACATTGGGGCACAAATTGGTTCACATTCTTCAAGAAAAAGAACCCTTTGTGGCATTGCATTTAAGATATGAGATGGACATGTTGGCTTTCTCAGGTTGTACGCATGGCTGCACTGTGGAAGAAGCCGAGGAGCTGAAACGACTGAGGTTTGTCATGTTTGAAGCTGATAGATTCCTGTCAAACTGAAATTATCTTAGCAAGGATTGATGTTCCCACTATTTAGGAGACACACACTAGTTACCCCTAGATTGCCACATGCAAACAAGATAGGAAAGCCGTGTGCTGCTTGTAATATGGGCATTTTTTCTTAGGTGTAATGTAAAGCTAAGATGCTTCCAACTATTGGTAGTTATCAATAACCAAATTTAGTTTTTGAGAAATATGATCATGGTGTATCCCTCCTTGCCTTGGTTTAGCTTACATAAAATATTATAATTAGTGATGACAAGAAGTAAGTCTTAACTTTGTTATATTATCTCATCATCGCAACGTTATCAATAACAAGAATCTGAGAATGAAAAAACCAAATGTAATTAGATAGCTTCCTCTTCCTTTCAGGTATGCATACCCTTGGTGGAGAGAGAAAGAGATAGTATCTGAAGAGAGGAGACAACAAGGGTTGTGCCCTCTGACACCCGAGGAAACAACGTTAATTTTGCAAGCATTGGGTTTTGATAAGGAAACTCAGATTTATATTGCTTCGGGTGAGATTTATGGCAGTGAACGGAGACTAGCACCACTAAGAGCTGCATTTCCACGTATTGTAAGTTTATGACCCTCAAATATGTAGCTTTCGGTATTAATATGTTTTGAATGCTCATCAAAGCACTGGATTCTATGGTTAGCAACAATTTTTGGATATTGGAACTCCAAGCTTTTTGTAGAATTTTGCGAAGAATTTGTTGTGGGACCCCGACTTGTCGTTAAAGTCATTTTTTATTCCTATGGTATGAGGCACTCACCCATATCAGAGAGTTCAGTTAAAGTCATTTTTTATTCCTATGGTATGAGGCACTCACCCATATCAGAGAGTTCATTTATCGCGAGTTATTTTCACTGTGCTCAACTGAGCCACTGAATCCTTAAATCTTGACCGCTGTGCAATTTTACCAATTTAGTGGGATTAGCTCTACTTTTGGCTCTTAAGTCAGGCATCATTTTTTAGTGTTGTTGTTGTGTTGCATATGATTCTCGTAGATCTCAAGTCATTATTACAATTTTAGGTTAAAAAAGAAACACTGTTAGATCCGTCGGAGCTGCAGCAATTTCAGAACCATTCATCTCAGATGGCAGCATTGGACTTTATGGTATCAGTTGCCAGCAATACTTTCATTCCAACATATGATGGGAACATGGCCAAAGTTGTAGAAGGTCATCGCAGGTTATGTATTTTTCTGAATTATGTAACAAGGCAGTGGGGAGTTATGTTCATTGTCTTGACAAGTTTTTCTTTAGGTATCATGGGTTCAAAAAGAGTATCCTGCCAGATCGAAAGAAACTTGTTGAATTGCTGGATTTGCATCAGAATGGGACACTTCCGTGGAATGACTTTGCACTAACCGTAAGGCAAGCGCATGAAAAACGGATGGGACAGCCCTTCCGTCGTCGAGTTATTCCAGACAAACCAAAAGAGGAAGATTATTTCTATGCAAATCCTCAAGAGTGCCTTTGTGAGGGAACAAAGTGTGAAGCCCCTGGTGAATCAAGTAATGCTACAATGACTGAGTGAGCAGCTCTGAAACTCAGCTCAAAATGGTTTCCGCACAACTCTTTCTGTACTTTGTGCACGTATTCAGTGAGTTGTGCACGATATTCAGTCAGGTTCGGGACAAACTGCCCTAAACGACCATTTATAAATGTTCTTGGAAGAGTTCTGTGAGAAACTGCAGCAGAAAATACTCCAGCTCCCATCTGGGCACAAAAAGAAAAAGGGAACATATTTTTCGACTTTTGCTTATATATTTATTTGTTTTTTTATCACCCTCTTACCTGTTGATTTGTATTCAGTACTGACAAAATTCAAATGTTGAATTAACCAATATTTGTACAGTTTCCTTCTCTCTATTCCCCCAAATGCCTCAATATGAAGAATTGATTTCATACCTTCTAAACCAAGCACAAATTATCACACAAAAGGGATGCATATAACCAGGAAATCATTAACAATTTATAAGCCGATTGGGTCACCAGTAGAGATGAACATTTGTCGGATTTCAATCCGATCCGGATCGGTTTTTATCCGATCCGGTTTTTTCTCATAGAAAAAAAACCGGTTTATAAAATAACCGGTTCGGTTTTTAACCGGTTTGGAGGGCCGGATATCCTAACCGGTGTAACCGGTTTCGGTTTTAAAAAAACCGGTTTTTTTAAAAAACCGGTTATAAAAATTCCGATTTTAATATTCCAGATTACTCATAGGGAACCGATTCCCCCCCAAGGGGGTACCGATTCCTCACTGAATGGTTTGGCTCCGAGATTTCCAGAATGCTCGGAGGGAACCGATTCCCCCATAGGGGTACCGATTCCCCCTATTCAACGGTCGAAATATTTGAATTTTACACTTAGGGAACCGATTCCCTATGAGAGGGTACCGATTCCCCCACGCTCCAAGCATTTTTATTAAATGTTTTCACACTTAACGGCTATATTATCTTCATTAATTATCACTAACGTTCAGAAGTGATTCAAGGTGTATTTAAGCAAGCTTAGAAGCCATTGATCAAAGACAAGAAACATCAAACAACTAGAATCAAGAGAGAATCAAAGAGAAAGCATCAAACCTCAAGTTCGATAAATTCAAATACTTAATTGAAATACTTAATTAACTCAATAATTGAAATACTTAAATACTTCCAAGTTGATAAATTCAAATACTTAAAAACTTCCAAGTTCGATAAATTCAAATACTTAAAAACTTCAAGTTCGATAATTGAAACAAAGTTTACGATAATTGAAAAAGTTATAAAATAAACTACATTGCCATCTCTTTTCATCATCTTCGCCTTCTTCGTTTGGAGGGGATATTCCAAGTTCGACTTCTTCAATGTGTAAGTTTGCTTCCAAATCGGCATCAATTGCATCTTCTAGGTGGGATATGTTGCTACGAGCCGCTCCATCCAAATAATCCTTTAAACAATGCATACTTCCACCGACTCGGGACTTAGTCTGATCTCCATGCGATATAACCCTGCCACTAACAGAAAAAGCGGATTCCGAAGCTACCGTAGAAGCTTGGACGGTTAGTAAATCACGGGCCATGGCGGCTAGAATCGGAAATTGTGCTTCCTTTTCTTCACCAAGCCAAAATATCCAAACTTTCAAACTCTTCAAATGTCATTTTGATAGAAAATCGCATGACATATAATTCCCAACTCGCTACTTGGGGTGGTAGTACGTGATCGTTTGGATTGGGAATTTACAAGAGTAAGATTCAAATTATGTTACTTGGACGTCTACTAGATGATTCCACATTCATTCTCATTGATCGTGTATTACACTTGATCCGTATTTATTTAAATAAATTGCAAACATGTCTCGAAAACATTTGTTAAAATAATTTGGTTTGGACAAAGTTGGGTTCATCATCGGTTAGATTAAAAGCAAACGCAATTTGTTCAATTAGTGTTTCAACCCCACCAACATTTAACGTTGGGTTTAAAGCGCGGCATAAGTAAAAATGGGGGAATCTCCTTAAAATATTTTAAAAGTTTTCCTTCATGCAAAGCCAATTCTTGAAAAACTTCGGTTCAAATTCAAAGTCATTTAGTCGGTAGCCAACAAAATATTTGATTAAGAACCAACGGGCTAGTAGGGTAATAAACACGGATAAAAAGTTGCATTTTTAAAAACCTCAAGCAAACGGTTATTTTGGCTATAGTTTCCCAACTCGAATCGGATAAATGTTTGGGACATGACCCCTCTCGAAAAGCCGATCGTGAAATGTTTGCAATGTTTCCCTTTGCCTTAAGGCAGTATGCATCATCATCCAAGTTGAGTTCCAACGAGTTGGACAATCCAAATTAGGACCCAAAGCTTTTTATTAACGGACTTACAAAATCGTTATAATCATTTAGTCTTTTGTTGTTGTTACAAAGACCGATTTTATCATTGTTTTGAATTCTAATCTAATCGGCTCAATAACCTCCAAACCGGCTTGCACGGATAAATTAATTATGTGTGCAACGCAACGGGTATGAAAAAACGCACCGTCTAAATCGGTGAAAGTAATATTTTCAATCTTGGAACCGAGTTTGTATTATTCGATGCATTATCAAAGGATAGAAAAAACTTTATTTTCTAATTTATAAAGACAAATTACCCTTTTTAAAGTGTAAATAACGGCTAAAAACGAATTTCCGGTATTATGAGGGGAACTCCAAACGTCACATGTAAGCGACACACCATAACGGTGTTCTTGGAATCCTAAAATCATTTTTTCCCTCGCCGTACGCCACATTTTATAGCATCTCTTCTAAGGGTAGTACGACTTACTTGAGTATAACGTGGTTGCATTAGTTGTTGAATTGTTGTCGTGAAATCTTCATCATCAAAGTGGTCGAACGGCAATGCTTTTGTAATCACGAACTTTGTAAACGTTCTCGTAATTTTTCGTTGTCGTAAACAAAAACACCACCTTGCGGTGTAAGATTCGATTGACTAGGATCCGATCTTGAGCGAAGTGCCTTGCATGATTTTGTCAAATGGTTCTTCAACGTTGTTTCCTTCCGATGCAAGAAACTTTAGACAAAGTTTACAACACGACCTCCTCGAGCCATTGACATCTCACATAAATCGTAGTGATCCCAAATCTTTGTTTCGAGTGTGTTCGATCACTCTCACGACTTCAAGGTTTCCCCGACGGAAGATTCAGCCGTGTACTCATGATGAACAAAAATTACAAAAGTAAGATTTGAGAGATGTTTAAGTGTTGTGTAATAAGATTTGAGGAATTGTAATCAACCAAATACATCCCCAACCTATTTATACATGTTTAGGTGGTAAAATGGTAATTTTTTAAGAAAAAAACGGTCAAAAACGGTCACAAAACCCCCCAACGGCTATATTAACGGCTAGTTTTTAAACCCAGACCGATTTTTTTTTTCGGATAAAAACCGGTTTTTAACCGGTTTTTTTCAAACCGGTTTTTTATCCGGTAAAAAAACCGGTCTAGGTTTTTTTTCTCCAAACCGGTTAAAATAACCGGTTTAAAAAAATCCGATCCGGTTAAAAAAAAACCGGTTTTTCCCAAAACCGGTTTCGGATATTTTTTTCGGATATTCGGATATTCGGATTTTTTGTGCACCCCTAGTCACCAGATAGGGATAATGTTCAGAAATATATAGCTCAGGCAGCAGAAATCATCTGCAGCAACACTAGACAAGATTGAAGGGTATTGCTTAAAATGGTGTTCAGCCGATTGGATAGAATTGACATGGACCTTGACATGTCCTAGTTGGTCTCCCAGAAGATGAGTTCACCTTGCTCTCCAACAAGACCAAGATCTTTGAGCCTTCTTTCTTGGTAATATTCCAACAAATCCAATTCCGATTCCCTTCCCTTGAAGATCTCATCAATTTGCTGCAGCACCTTCTTTTCCCCCGCTCTTACTCCTGCAATTTTCTGCCTCTCATCAAGATTTCCCTCTTCCATCAGCTTTTCATCCTGCAATTAACTAGTAATCAGTACGGACATGACCTTCAAGACAGAGAGGATTTGCAGATTTAGTAAAGATAAATTGTTACCTCTTCAATGGTGGTATGATAGCCAGACAAAGCAGATTTGCAGGCGTCGAGGACAACCCGGCATATGAGCTCTTCATTGGCACGACTTACAGGTAAATCGAGGTGGCCCCAAATTGTGTTTCTAAAATAGATGTAGGTTATGTAAGTATAAGGTTGTAGGAATTATAGAAATGAGATGTTCCATCCCTTAAGAGATTCTGTAATTATTCTTTCTGTTTTTCAATCCCTTATTTCAAGGGATTACATCTCCTAGGATTAGTATTTTTCATAACTTAGAGTTTCCTAGTTTATAGACATAATTTGTATATAAAGACGTAATATGTCCTACTGAAAGATATAAGAATGAAATAACATAGACTTACTTTGTTTTCTACATGGTATCATGTTAGAACTATCAATCCAATTTCCGATTCACTTTAAATCAATTCCTGTTCAACTCTTTTTTTCCATGGATAATCCAGATCCCTTAGCATGCGAAATCACTTCCCAGACCAGCCCCTCTCAATCTGATTTTCATATTTCAGATTCCTTTGTTTCACGGATAACCTCCTACAAACTAAATTGAAACAACTACCTACCATGGTCCCAGTCCATACGGCTATATATCACAGGAAGAAGGAAAATCGCCTATCTTTCTGACTCAATGCTGATTCCAAAAGAGACAGACCCAAAGTACAATACATGGCTGAGTGAAAATACCATGATAATGTCATGGTTAATAAATTCCATGATTCCTAAAATAGGGGAGAATTTCATGCTTTACCAAAATGCTGCAGAAATTTGGAATGCAGCGCGAGATACTTATTCCAGTGCTGACAATACGTCAGAGCTCTTTGGGGTTGAGAACCAAATTAAAGATCTCAGACAAGGAGACCTTACTATCACACAATACTTTAGAATTCTCAATAAGTATTGGCAGCAAATCGACTAATATGAAAAGAATGAATGAAAGTGCCAAGAAGTTAGCAACTTCTACAACAGGCAGACAAATCAGAAGAGAGTTTTTCAGTTTTTATCTGGGCTGAATGGAGCGTTTGATGGAGGAAGAGGAAGGATTCTTGCCACCAAACCCCTTCATTTGGTCTGAGAAGTTTTTTTCAGAAATTCGGAGGTAGGAAAGCCGAAGATCTCTGATAGTGCCACCAATTCAGCGAACAGATGCTTCAGCACTTGTCACCAGTTCCAACTCTAGGAACCAGCAAAGGAAAAATCGCCTTTGGTGTGAACATTGTAAGAAACCAGGCCATATGATAGATCAATGTTGGAAGCTGCACGAAAAATCAGTCGATTGGCAGTCCACACGGTCCAGGTTTCAAAAGGAGGCCTATATTGCCTCTCAAGATGATTCCTCAAGCAGTTTTAGCAAGAAACAGATAGAGGAGCTGTAGTAGATTTTGAGCAGTATGACAGCCAAGCCTACCAATGTGGCTTATACTACTACTGAAGGTAATAATCTATATGTTTCCTCAGTACAATAGATAATAGACTCGGTGCATCAGATCATATGACAGGAAATATTGATCTCTTGGAGGAATATAGTGAAAGTAACTTACCAATTTCTATCATAATAGAAGATGGATCTCTCACTATAGTAAAAAGGAGTGGTTCTGTTACATTAAACAAAAATCTACTACTTCATAATGTCCTCTATGTTCCTAGACTTGCATGCAATCTGTTGCCAGTCAGCAAATTAGTTAAAGATTCTGGTTGTAATGGTGTATTATGTACTGGTGGTTGTATTTTTCAGACACAGGGCTCAAAGAGGGTGATTTGTAGTGCTCGGTTGGGCAAAGGATTGTACACCCTTGAAGGTTGAGTATCTCAAAATCATGTCTTATCCAGTTCTCTTAGGAAACCAATTTTATCTTCTGATCTCAATACCAATAAAATTATGTTATGGCACTCTAGATTAGGTCATCCTAGTTTTTTCTATCTTTCCAAATTGTTACCAAACTTATTTATAAATAAAGATACATCTTTGTTTTCCTGTGAAATTTGTAAAATAGCCAAACGCACCAGAAAACCATATATTGCAGCCAAATTTGAACCAACATCACATTTTTCTATCATCTATAGTGACATTTGGGGCCTTATTTATATCAAAAGTATTTATAGGTATAAGTGGTTTGTGTCTTTTATAGATGATTACTCTAGGACAACATGGGTATCCTTAATGAGAGAAAAGTCTGAGGTTGAGTCTCTCTTTAAAAGTTTTTATCAAAAATTTGAAAGACAATTTGAAATAAAAATCAAAATTCTAAGGAGTGACAATGGGAGTGGGTATTTGAATAAAACTCTTGGGTATTTCTTTAAGGAAAAAAGACATTGTTCACCTTACTTCTTGTGTCAACACACCTTAACAAAACGGGGTAGCATAAAGGAAAAATAGACATCTTCTAGAGGTTACTAGGTCTCTTATGTTTGCTGCTAATGCTCATAAGTATCTTTGAGGGAAGCTCTTTTTACAGCCACTTACCTCATCAATAGAATGCCAAGTAAGACCTTAGGTCTCAAAACTCCTACTAAGGTTCTGTTTCAGTTTTTCCCCATTTTAAACATTTAAACTCAAGTCTTTCTCCTCAGGTGTTTGGGTGTACAACCTTTGTTCATATCCACAACAGAGGCAAATTAGATCCTAGGTCCATAAAGTGTGTGTTCTTGGGCTATTCTTCAAGTCAGAAGGGTTACATGTATTACTCACATTCCATAAAAAAGACATATGTCTCCTTTGATGTTATATATTTTTGAAAACCAACCTTATTTTTCAGGAACATAAATTCAGGGGGAGAGTTACAAGGAATTTCAACCTATTCAAACCAATATTTCTTTACATCCTATCATTTCTTTACCTATTACTGTCTCTCCACAGCAGGCTAGCAATGTCTCAGTTCCTAGTGAGGGTGATGGGAATAACCTAATAACTCTGATGAATTACCTTCCTCCCTATCTCAGCAATCTAGTCCGTGCAAAACACCTTCCACCACTACAAAAAATGCACCTAACAATGACCTTGAAACCATAACTCCCCAACCGAAGCAACTCATTATTTACTCAAGAAGAAGGAAAGCTGTTGCTAGAGAAATCAGTCAGCCTAACATTTGCCAAGAACCAGATTTGGATCCTATTGTAGCTGAAATAGAAGGTAATGATGGTTCCCAAGAGGTTATTGTTGTTGATCTTGATGATTTTCCTATTGCTATTAGGAAGGGGGTAAGAAAATACAATGCTCATCCCATAAATAAGTATGTTGCATATGGAAAATTACAGTCTAATTTTAGGGACTTCACTGATAGCATTAACAGTGTGAAAATCCCATGAAATCTGACAGAAGCATTTCAATCTCTTGAGTGGAAAAAGGTTGTGGAAGAGGAGATAAAAGTGTTGCAAAAGAATAAGACACGAAGTTTGACAGATTTGCCAGAAGGGAAGAGAGTTATTGGATGCAGGTGTATATTCACAGTCAAATATCATTCAGATGAGAGTGTAGAAAGATACAAGGCAATGCTGGTTGCTAAAGGTTTTTCTCATTCCTATGGCATCGACTACTAGGAGACTTTTGCACCAATTCCAAAATTGAATACCATCAGAATATTGTTATCAGTAGCTGTTAACATGGACTGGAAATTGCATCAGCTGGACATAAAGAATGCTTTTCTGAATGGGAACCTTGAAGAAGAGGTATACATGGAGGTCCCATCGGATTAGAAGGAAAGGTTACTAAGAAAACTGTGTGCAAGCTCAATAAATCCTTATATGGCTTAAAACAGTCTCCTAGGGCTTGGTTTGATCGATTTGCTAAGGCTATGACACAGAATGGTTTCAAGCAAAGCCAAGTGGATCACACATTATTCAGAAAAATTACACCGAGTTGTAAGATAACCCTCCTAATTGTCTATGTAAATGATATGATTATAACTGACAGTAATATAGAAGAAATAGAAAAGCTAAAGATGGATCTTGCAAAGGAGTTTGAAACCAAGGATTTAGGGAGTATGAGATACTTCCTGGGTATGGAAGTCGCAAGGTCCGAGGAAGGGTTGGTCATAAACCAGCATAAGTATGTTTTGGATCTTCTTGCAAAAACTGGGATGCTCGACTGCAAACTAGTTGAAACTCCAATGGAGTCAAGCTTGAAGTTTAGCAAAGAATGGACTGGAAATACAGTAAACAAGGAAACCTACCAAAGGATAGTTGGGAAGTTGATATACCTTTCACTGACCATGCCTGATATTGCATACTCAATGAGCATTGTCAGCCAACATATGAGTGATCCTCGAGAAGAACATTTGGAAGCTGTTAATAGAATTCTAAGGTTCTTGAAGTTTACCACATGAGCTGGACTTATATTTAGAAAAAATCAAGATATAACAGTGAAGGTTTATACGGATGCAAGCTGGAGAGGTGAATTAACTAATAGAAGGTCAGTTAATGGCTATTGTACCTATGTTTGGGGTAATTTGGTGACTTGGAGAAGTAAAAAACAAGTAGTTGTCTCTCGAAGTAATAAGGAATCAGAGTTTAGAGCAATGACTCTAAGAATATGTGAAGGGATGTTGATTAAAAGACTGATCACAGTTTTGGACTTATATGACAAGAATAATTGAGATTTTTGGTGACAGTCAGTCATCTAGAAAAAAACCCAGTGCAACATGATAAAATGAAGCACATTGAGATAAAAATACATTTTATTTACGATAAGGTCAACAATGGAGTTGCAAAAATGCAGTACATTCCGACGAAGAAACAGTAGGCATATATCTTCACCAAAGCCCTTCCACGAGTGACTTTCGATGAGCTGTCATTTAAACTGGGTATATACAACATATATACACCAGTTTGAGGGGAAGTGTAGGTTATGTAAGTGTAAGGTTGTAGGAATTATAGAAATGAGTTTTTCCATCTATAAACACTAATTTTTCATTTTACTTTTTTTATTATTATTAATAATATATTATTATTATTATTATTATTAAATACATTTCAGGCCCAAACCCGAAAGCCTAAAGAGATACAAGCCCAACCCAGATCTGGCCCAATAGATCCAAAACCCAATTAGGGTTTTCATATTTCTACTAGGGGTTCTCAACCTTATCTAATCCACCGCCGCCTCTGAAGCCATTCCAGCCGATGCCTCCACTGCCAGATGGTCCAAACAGCCGCTACCGACGCTGCTACTACCACGATGCCAGCCTCGCTGAAGTCTCTAGAAGGCCAGATGGCCACCTAAGTCAATGCCCTATGGTGAGTCACCACATAGTTTGGTGACTCACCGCAATGACCTCTATTATCCAGTCCAAGGCGAGCTTGGTGGTGGTTATAAAAACCACTAAACCTGCGAAAGAAAAAAAACAGAGGCAAGAATGAGAGACCATCGACAGCAAGCAAAATACCCAACAACAAGAAACCATTCAGAAATAACAAAGGAAAAAAGAAGAGAAAGACTTACCCTTGAAGCCTTTTCTACCATCGGAAGCCCGAACGTCGCTAAAACCACCATATAACCGAAGGTAAAGCCATCGGTTTCTTTTAGATCTAGATTAATCGAGGTAGTTTTAGAACAAAGGGAGGCCATATTCGGCCTTAGAGTTGAAAGAGGGAAATTTGGGGTTATTTTCCTAAATTCCGACCACCGTTGGTGACCAACACCGGAGCACGGTGGCCGGCGGCTGTCGGAATTCCCTCCGGTGAGGGAAGATAGAGAGAGGGGAGAGGTTCTTTCCCTTTAGAGAGATAACCAAAGAGGAAAAATGAAGAGAACCGACCATTTTGGCCGGTTAAATAGGTATTAATACCCTCCTCCAAATGACGTCGTTTTGGGGAGGGATGCTTGTGTAATTTTTCTCCTGGGTAAATCATACCCGCAACCATTAAAGATTTGTAACTTTGCATTTTAGTCACTGAAATCAAATTCTGAACCTTTTAATTTGATATTTGAAGTTTGGTTTATTATAATTTAGTCCCTGACATAATTATATATATTTATGGTAAATAATAGATTTAGTCCCTTAGGTTTTAATAATTATTATTTTAATCATCGATTAATAATTAAGGTTAAATTACACTATTATTGCTTATATTTTTGTGATAATTCAAATTAGGCCCTCAATTTATATATTTTACATCTTAATCCCTAATTTGTTAATAATTTTATTTTAGATCATAAGTTTTATTTGTTTTATATGTTAATGCTATAATTTTAATTTTCTTTATTTTGTCATTGTTTTATTTAATTCTATGTTTAATTGCAATTTATTTTTATTTATATCAATATGTTTAATTTAATACTTTAAATATTAATTATTATTTTATTCTTATAAATATATTTGATTTAATAATAATGTTTATTTATTTTTAAATATTAAGAAAGGGCGGTCTTAAAATAACTAGACGTCCTATTCTGGTATTTTAAAATAAATAAATATCTTATTTATAAATATATATATATATATATATATATATATATATATATTTACTTCATTTTTATTATTTTTAGGAAAAATTATTATCTTTTTATTAATATTTATTTATTTCTTAATATTAAGAAATGGGATGTCTTAAAGCAACTAGATGTTCATTTCTGATATTTTTAAAATGAATAAATATCATGATTATAATAACTTAAATATATATATATATATATATATATACTTTTATATTTTAATATATTTTCTTAGAATTATCTTAATAAATTTGAAATAAGAGGATCATAAATTAAATTTACATCATAATTCTTAAATTTCTACTAATAGAGAGAATTTATAATCGAAATGGACCAATTTTGGGCATTGTGGGGGTGACTATCCTTTCCCAAATATAACCGACCACGAATCCCTTTTTATTATTAAAAAGAAAGAACTTTTGGTTAAACGCAGACCGGTTTATCTTTTAACTGATGTTTTCTTAAAAACTCTTTTAAAAGATGATTTTATGTATTCGACCTACCTAAATCAAAAGGTTCGATGGCGACTCCCAAAACATTTCAATAAAAACCATTTATTCATTCACATTACCTTCCATAGAGAGAAACCATTAGAGGGTCTCGTTGTGAAGACTGTGAATGAGGTTATGAATGATAATGATGTGTTCAAGGTGATATTGTCTGATGATCAAGAACCTATTAGAGAGCATGGTAATTCAAGACATCTTCAAGATTTGGTCCCAGGGGGCATTGGTGAATTGATGATTAGTGAAGAATCAATGAAACAAAAAAGTTCACTTGTGAAAGATAAGCTTTACCCAAAGAAAATGGGTATAGAAAAGGATCAAAGGCTGATCAAGAAGAAAATGAATATACAGGGTTTTCAATTCCCTCCCTTCCACTTTTCGAGTAAAAATTTGCATTAAAAAATGCTCTTAGCAATTACTCCATGATATGTTCAGCCACAGTGGCCTCCAAATGAAAAGTGGACCTATAAGGAGGTTCCTTGGATAAACGAGACTGGAACTCCAAATTGTTTAGCTAAGGTTCCTAGTAACATTGAGGGAAATTTCCAAGATCCTTTAGAGCAAGCAATTCAAAAGTGCAGGGTAAAAGAAGGGGTTAAGGTACAATGCTCAGAAATTATTGCCTTAACAGAGATTAATGTGATCAAAACTTGCGAAGAATATCAGATGCAAGAAAATGGGAAAAGAAATCGAAGCAAAAAGGTTCTCATGGATGTAATTCGAGATTGGCCCATAGGTCTAAAAATAAACTGGGATGATGCAACCATGAAAACATCTCAAACACCCATATCAGACTTCCTAAGGACGAGTGGGGCTTTGGGCAGTTTAGAGAACATGACGAATACTACGCCCATCATAACTACAATATGTGTTCAGAATCAGGACAAAGCTATTGTCACCAATGAGAATTGTTTGAGCCCAATTTCCAACTGATAAACGAGGAGATGAGATCTGACCAAAAAGCTACTAAGAAAGAAGTAGAGATCGGTGCGTTTGAGGAATCATTTAAACGATCCCAGATAAGAGAAATGATCAAAAGATAGGGGACAAGTGAGGACAAAGACTATGGTCCAATTATAAACCCAACATTCTAGGAATAATGGGGCACATTATAAATAAATAAGTGGAAGTTGTTATCTACCACTGTAGTACCTTTCTATTTTCAGCATCTTGTTTGAACTTGTTTTTTGTTCCTTTCTCTGCCTTGTTGTGATAAATAAATTTTTGTTGTTTTTATGGTTATGAGAAAATAATCAAACTTTAATCTTGAAATTTTTGAGTATCAAGTAGATTAAATATTCTTTTTCAAGAATTATAGATCTTTGGCAAGTGATAAAATTATTCCTTCCATATCCCATCCAATGCCAATTACTTGACCCTTACTAAAACCAAATCTTGACCATACATTTATCTAAGACTCAGAAATAATGCCTCTACCTGTTTTTGAGACACCAAATCCAGATTTTACCTTCTTGGGTAGATTTGATTTGTTTGTAACACTACATTCCACCATATACAGGACTTCAAAAGTCGCACATTTGTCCTTCCAAATACAAAACCATCATAAACCAAAAGACCTCAAAAGAACCAAACTTTCAATTATCCGTAAATCTTCCTGCAATAGGAGACGAGATGAGGCATCATGGATCAACTTACCGAAGATAATTTCGAGTGATTGGGGCATACTCAAAGAAGAAGAAAAAAAGATTGTTTTAGATAAATATATCATGCATTAATTAAATTGTTTTCATGTAAATAAATGTTAATCCCAAATATTCATCCCCCTGGGGATAACTCTTTTTACAGATATCTGTGTATGAGATGACGAATGGCATTGTTTCATTTATCCTTTCAAATATATATCCTTTGTATTCCCCATTTGAGCCTAAATTATTTTTTCTGATTCAACCCTAACCAATGATCACCATTCACATTGGGGGCAAGAAGAAGGATATCTGCTCAAAGGAATAAAGATTGTCAATCTAATTTTATTACGAAGGCAAATCTTCATAAAATAAAGAGAGTTTTGAACTACAAGGTAGGTCAAATACAAAGTGCTTGAAGATCAAATCCATACAAGATGAAAGAATTTTTGAAATACAAGAGGAAAATGAGGTTCTCAAAGCAATTGAAGTCCTATACTCATTTATCATAAGAAAAAAAAGAAAAAGGATGAAAAAGAAAAGAAAAAAATTTGAATCAAGATGGGTGACTCATTGAGCCTCAAGCTACAAGGTTGATCAAGTGCAATTAGTTCAAAGATTCATATTCAACAAGAAGAGCAAAAAAATGATGAAGATATGAGAAAATGGAAATTAACTAAAAAATTGACAGTCTAGAAGGATCCAAAAGAAGAATGACAAATAGCAAAGCAGATCCAAGTCAAGCAATGCAAGATTGAAGGCATCAGAATAAATTGATCATTGGTTCAATTACTCTTAAACATTTGTTTGGGCCTTTTTTATCCCTTTCTTTCATAACCATAAGCCCTGACCTACGTTACGTACCTGAAAAGTCCATTCTAATCATACATGGATTTCTATGTGAAAAAGACTATCTTCAGATTTCATTCTGCCTCTCAAGATTGATTTTTTTTGCAAAAATTGGTTTTTAAAATCTTTAATGCATGATATAAAAAATGATAAAAGGGGGGTTCAAGATGTAAAATTTCTAAATAACGTCTTGAAACCAAAGGAGGACTCGAGTCAAAAACCTAAAAAGGCGGCTCGAATATCGAATGGTGCAACAACGACATAAGAGACGATCTTAAGCTCTTGATGAAGCACCACACATCCCAAAGACGTTTCTGAGAATCTGGAGCCAAGAAGTATCTCTATGAGATGAATATAGAAACCATTTCTTCAAGTTAATGGACGCTCAAAGAGACATATATGTTGGATCAACCTGAGAGACCTTACTTTACCAAAATTAACCTACACCTTAAATCAGTCAATAATTTTGACATTTTCCATAGGACTATATTTTTATTATTTAAAAGTGTAGTTGATTTATTTGATATTCATTAAACTCGTTGTTTATGATTTGATTCTATTGTGAACCTGTACGAAACAATACTTTACAAAATTCTTTCATTATTTGATAAAGAAAGGAGAATAAAACATTTTCAAACAGGACAATCTCAAATGAGGAAGGTCCTTGAAGTAAATTGTTTCCTATTTTACCTCTATTGTAGAAAAAGAATAAGCAAGGCCAGAATGATGAAACATTCTTGAAAGCAAGTGGTCCAAGAAGCCAGAAAGTCTGGAGAATTGAACTTGTGACGCTCTCCTGTGCCATTATTAGCAATTCATCAAAAATTATTATCACTCATCTCATGCTGAGGTCGATAAGCATCAACAGAAAAATTATTTTCCCCAGCCATCAATCCATGTCTCCTAACATATCCTCCAATCACAGAGCTATAAGTCCCATTAGATGTGTTATAGGAATGAACAAGTCCACCACTTGCACTCTAGTTATATCGTGATGTTGGCTCAAGCCTTGATACATCATTGTTACTTCTTCCATGCCGATCATTTTCTTTGTCAGGATTATATCCGTTATGTCCTTCAAAAGATTGATGAACTTAAATTTGACATTGGAACAAATTCTACACTTATAGACTTTTCATATTGGGTAATATTGGTTACATGATTCCAAAAGTAGAGATAACCAGTTTTATCATCAACTAAACATTTTCATATTTCGGGAAGAGTGGGATATGGCAGTGCGTATCTTGGAGAAACAGAAAAGGCAGTCGCTGTAGCAGCCATTGCAAGAAAAGGCCCACAAAAAAATCGTCGAGTTTATCCCGATGATGTTTATTTCTTCGGGTAAGGTTGTTACACGAGATGCCACCAAAAACAAGGGCAAATCCACCAAATCTACTTATCAATTGCTCCAACCGATCATCATTCAGTTCTTGCACATCTGCTTTTAAAGGTATGCTGAGCCGGTAAAGGGAAATCTTTACACCACCGATCCCAGAGAAAAGAGACAGAACATTGATACCCCTGGGGAACATGTCTTTTAAAACCGAAAGATGATAAGCCATTGTGTCGACCTGGAATGGATTATCAATCGATTTATACCACTCTGTCAGACTAGATCCCTCCAGATCTAAAAAAATGGGCACCTCATTCAGAAGAGGCACATATCTCAGACATTTACATCTGAATGATTGATTACTTCTTAAGTTTGGGACCACATGAAGAAAATCCCTCAAGTTACAAAACAACACCGCTGTTTAGTGACACCATAATGAGAGCATTCAAGATTAACAGATTTGTGCACGAATAGAGCCACGAGTACCCTCAATGGGGCATTAGTAAAATTGGACCTCTTGGGGATCATGAGATTCAAATCAAACAAACATTGAGAGTAAGCCTTACAATTTAGAATGTTGGGGTATTTTGAAGGCTCAATTCAGATAGATCAATGTGCGACATCTTGAAGGCACATTTAAACCAGAAATAGAACGTTGGGGCATTTTGAAGGCTCACAAAAATATGAATATTTTAGCATTTTGGAGGCTCATCTCAGCAAGAAGTAATGTTGAACGCATCTGCAAATGTTGGGGCATTTTAAAGGTCACTTCAGACAGATCCATGTGGGGCATTATGAAGGCCCACGTTAGTATGTATTTTTAAAAGCTCATATTAATAAGAAGCAAATGTGGGGCATCCTGAAAGCCTATTTCAATCAGAATTAGGAATGTTGATACATTTTGAACGTTCATATCAGCAAATACTGGGCCATGCTGAAGGCATATATCATCTTATGGAAATATCATTGATTTGAGCAAATATTTCCAATAAGACAAAAAGGAATGAAGAATGAAAATGGTGAAACAGTGACAGTGAAGTTAACTATACATAATTGCTTCGTTCATCAGGCAGTTACATTAGGGTCCTGTTGTTGAACAAATATCTACTCAGCAAGTATGGTTTGAAATACCCAATCTTCTTAACCATGTGTCACATGACAGCGTGTCCTTTGTTAAAGATACATCACAGTTGATCCAGGGTTCAGTTCCTCAAGATCTCGGCTTTAAAATTGGTTTTTTGTGTGTCGGTGATGATTGGAAATATTTCTTTGAGGCTCCTGGAGGTTAGTTTCAATCATGTTGTTGAGGCTACGAAGCCGTTTTTCACAACAGTTTTCGCCTACTTGATGACATTGAAGAGAGAAGCTCAGCTTATGTATATTACTCTTATTCCCATTATTATTGGGGTTATCATTGCCATTCAGGGTGAACTGAGTTTTCATCTATTTGGTTTTATCATGTGTGTTTCATCTACAACAACAATAATTCCATGGACCTCATTCTGTACATGGCTCCTATAACAGATGTGTTTCTACTTCCTACAACACTCATTATGGAAGAAAACGTGATCGGTATCACACTTGCCCTTGCATGAGATAATAACAAGATCGGTTGGTATCTCTTATTCAATTCGACACTATCATATTTTGTGAATTTGACTAACTTTTTGGTCATAAAACACACCAGCATCCCAATTGTATTCCCACTGAGTTTTGTTCTCAAGTGGTCTTGTAACATCATACAAAAGTTTTGAATACTATGCAAAGAGCTTCATTGATGAGTGTTGAAAACATTTTGATATTTCGATATAACACATTAAGTTAAATGAATTTTAAGATTTTCCAAATGATTTTCTAAGTATATTCGATATAACTATTCGAATATCAAAACATTACTCCAAATCTTTTAAAGATCATTTTTAATCCTTACTCAAGTGTAAAATTAAGTTTTAATCTTAAAACAATTTCAAAATAATTTTACAAAGTATTTCAAATCATTTCAAAGCCAAAAATTCCAGATTGCTCAGAGGGAACCGATCCCCCCCTAAGGAGGTACCGATTCCCCCCTGAATGGTTTGGCTCCAAGAATTCCAGTATGCTCGGAGGGAACCGATTCCCCCCCAGGGGGTACTGATTCCCTCTTGTATAACGGTCGAAATATTTGAATTTTACACTTAGGGAATCGATTCCCCATAGGGGGTACCGATTCCCCCCACTCTCCAAACTATTTTATTTTTCACACTAAAACGGCTATATTATTTTCTCTAATCATCTCTAATGTTCATAAGTGATTCAAGGTGTATTTAAGCAAGCTTAGAAGCCATTGATCAACAACAAGAAACATCAAGCAATTAGAATCAAGAGAGAATCAAAGAGAAAGCATCAAACCTCAAGTTTGAGCATTTCAAGTCTATTTTTCATTCAATATTCATTTTTTCTTTTAAGAACACTTATTGTGCTCAACTGTATTTATTCTTGAGTGTTCTTTCTTTGTTCTAGAATTGTGCAAACATATTTGCCTTGTGAGGTTTTTCTTGTAAGTTTGCAAATTTGTATTTCTCTTTGAGAAAAGAGTGTTCTCAAGAATTGGGGTATATTCTTGAGGGAGTTGTAAGGTTATCTCTTTGGCCTCAAAAGAAAGAACAAATTATTGAATTTGTTGGAAAATCCTTAGTGTGGATAGCTAAGGTAGTGGACGTATACTTTGGTTGATAAAGTCGAACCACTCTAAATCGCTGTGCAATTTCTTTCAATTTTCTGCAAAAGCTTCCACCAAAATTTTTATTGCCAATTCACCCCCCTCTTGTCCAATTCAGTCAATCGATTAACTCAACAATGAGAAATCTGGGCAGAAGCCACAAGAAATGATGAATGTGTTTTCAAATGTTTTACGAAACATCTGTACAGAAGCCACAGCTGGATGAATGCATTGTCAAATGTTTTACCAACCAGTGATTATGGTGTTGAACCAATATTGTGATCATATGGTTTTCATTTATTGATGCAAGATAAAGATTGTCTTCTTCAACCCCAAGGTTAGAAGTGACATATGATGAAGATTTCTTTCCACAGAAGGGGAGCTGAAATTTTAACAACAAGAAACTAGTGGAGCCAACTAAGGTTGAACAATACGTTGTTAAACATCTCGACATGATATGGTCCAAGTTGCCTTGTTCGAGATCTGGTTAGATGTGGAGACATGAAAGGAATTAAGATAAATCTTCCTTATGATGTGTTTCAAGGGTCAAATTAGAACAGACTTTGCTCTCCTAATTAATCTCTGCTAAATTTGGCATATATACATCTACATTCTTCAAAGATGATATTTTCATTCTTCAAAGATGATATATTATCTCTTTAAAGATGATATATTATCTTTTCAAAGATGAAAGCTTTATTGGATTTTTACACAAGTCCAGATGAAGAAAACCGGTGTTATCCACAATGAAATGGGACAATAAGGGCATAATTCTGATTACGGCAAGAGTTCCATAAATGAAACATTTCTTTTGAGACTTTAATGAAACAAAGAAGACACAAATATACAAGTTGATCAGATGGTTCTTCATAAATGCAAGCTTGATAGCATAAGTTGCTACACTGATATATGCAGAAACCCTTGTAAAGGAATGATTAAGTAAAGGAAGACCTAGTTTGCCACTTTGAAGTCACATAAAGATTGCATCAACATTTATGCATTCATAAGAACATCATTTGCATAAAATAAAATGCATTACATTGATACATTTAATTGCATTCAAATATGAATTTTTACAGATCTTCGTATGAAAAAAGAAGATTCATGATAGAAAATACCTTACAAAAGGAAGAAAGAATTCAAATCACATCAGGAGAGGAAAACATCTGAAGAATAGATGGTCGCAATCCACAAATGAAGCATCATTTTGAAATAGGGCATGTTACCCAATCAATAAGTTATTTCAATGAGAAAACGATTTCAAAAGTTTCTCATTTAATCGTTTTCTGAAAATGTAATTGTGAATAGTAAGAAAACGATTTCCAAAGTTTCTTACTTAGTAAACTATTTCCCGCATCTGTAAGACCTCCAGTGCAGGATGTTTAAAATCCTTCAGGTCATCTGTAAGACCTCCAGTGCAGGATGTTTAAAATCCTCAGGGCCATCCATAAGACCTACAGTGCAGAATATTTTCAAAAGGCCTTCTGCAGTTTTTTGATATTTTAAAGCCTCTGGGTCATCTGTAAGACCTACAGTGCAAGATGATAAGACCTCAGGGCCATCCATAAGACCTACAGTTCAGGATGTTTTCAAAAAAGCCTTCAGGAGCTTTTTGATATTTAAAGCCTCTGGGTCATCTGTAAGACCTACAGTGCAAGATGATAAGACCTCAGGGCTATCCATAACACCTACAGTGTAGAATGTTTTCAAAAATCCTTCGGGAGCTTTTTGATATTTAAAACCTCCGGGTCATCTGTAAGATCTACAGTGCAAGATGATAAGACCTCATGGCCATCCATAAGACCTACAGTGCAGGATGTGTAAAAAAAGCCTTCGGGAGGTTTTTGATATTTAAAACCTCTGGGTCATCTGTAAGACCTTCGGTGCAAGATGATAAGACCTCAGGGCCATTCATAAGACCTCTAGGCAGAATATTTTCAACATTTCCATCCTACTCAAAAGAAGCCAAATGAAAAAATTATTGTCTTTTTCATCTTTGCTCTATTTTTGTTAACATAAGAATGAGCAAAGAGGCGCAGCTGTAGACACTAATTTTTCATTTTACTTTTGTTATTATTATTATTATTAATATATTATTATTATTATTAAATACATTTTAGGCCCAAACCCGAAGCACGTTTTATAACAAACCCAAAAGCCCAAAGAGATACAAGCCCAACCCGGATCTGGCCTAACAGACCCAAAACCTAATTAGGGTTTTCAAATTTCTACTAGGGTTTCTCAGCCCTATCCAAGCCACTGTCTCCTCTGAAGCCATTCAAGCCGTTGTCGACGCCTCCACTGCCAGATGGTCCAAACAACCGCTGTCGACGCTGCTACTGCCACGACGCCAGCCTCGCCGAAGTCTCCAGAAGGCCAGATGGCCATCCAGGTCAATGTCCTATGGTGAGTCACCACATAGTTTGGTGACTCACCGCAAAGAGCTCTATTATCTGGTCCAAGGCGAGCTCGGTGGTGGTTATAAAAACCACCAAACCTGCGAAAGAAAAAGAAAACAGAGGCAAGAACGAGAGACCATCGACAACAAGCAAAATACCCAACAACAAGGAACCATTCGGAAATAACAAAGGGAAAAAGAAGAGAAAGACTTACCCTTGAAGCCTTTTCTGCCATCGGAAGCCCGAACGTCGTTAAAACCACCATATAACCGAAGGTAAAGCCATCAGTTTCTTTTAGATCTAGATCAATCGAGGTAGTTTTAGAAAAAAAAAGGAGGCCATATTCGACCTTAGAGTTGAAAGAGGGAAATTTGGGGTTATTTTCCCGAATTTCGGCCACCATTGGTGACCGACACCAGAGCACGGTGGCCGGCGGCTGCCGGAATTCCCTCCGGTGTGGGAAGCTAGAGAGAGGGGAGAGATTCTCTCCCTTTAGAGAGAGAACCAAAGAGGAAAAATGAAGAGAACCGACCATTTTGGTCGGTTAAATGGGTATTAATACCCTCCTCCAAACGACGTCGTTTTGGGGAGGGATGTTTGTGTAATTTTTCTCGTGGGTAAATCATACCCGCAACCATTAAAGATTTGTAACTTTGCATTTTAGTCCCTGAAATCAAATTCTGAACCTTTTAATTTGATATTCAAAGTTTGGTTTATTATAATTTAGTCTATGACATAATTATATATATTTATGGTAAATAATAGATTTAGCCCCTTAGGTTTTAATAATTATTATTTTAATCACCGATTAATAATTAAGGTTAAATTACACTATTATTGCTTATATTTTTGTGATAATTCGAATTAGGCCCTTAATTTATATATTTTACATCTTAATCCCTAATTTGTTAATAATTTTTATTTTAGACCATAAGTTTTATTTCTTTTATATGTTAATGCTATAATTTTAATTTTCTTTATTTTGTCATTGTTTTATTTAATTCTATGTTTAATTGCAATTTATTTTTATTTTTATAAATATGTTTAATTTAATACTTTAAATATTAATTATTATTTTATTCTTATAAATATATTTGATTAAATAATAATGTTTATTTATTTTTAAATATTAAGAAATGGAGGTCTTAAAATAACTAGACGTCCTATTCTAGTATTTTAAAAATAAATAAATATCTTATATATATATATATATATATTTACTTCATTTTTATTATTTTTAGGAAAAATTATTATCTTTTTATTAATATTATTTATTTCTTAATTTAAGAAATGGGCTGTCTTAAAGCAACTAGATGTCTTTTTCTGATATTTTTAAAATGAATAAATATCATGATTATAATAACTTTTATATATATATATATATATATATATATTTACTTTACTTTTATATTTTAATATATTTTCTTAAAATTATCTTAATAAATTATGTAATTATTCTTTCTGTTTTTCAATCTCTTATTTCAAGGGATTACATCTCCTAGGATTAATATCTTTCCTAACTTAGAGTTTCCTAATTTAGAAACATAATTTATATATAAAGATGTAATATGTCCTACTGAAATATATAAGAATGAAATAACAGAGACTTACTCTGTTTTATACAATAGATTCCAAGAGGAAAGCATTAGTTCCCCCAAGTGCCACCAGTCGTAGATATGGAATCAGTGCCGGTGGAAGAGGACGACCCAAAACAATGTCAAAATAGGCAGTCTCTCCCAAACCATTTGTCTCGGCAATGTCGAGCTTGTCTCGGAAAAATGGTTTGGACTCTGATATCTCCAACATGAAGGTGTAAGCATTGCGATCAGATCTTGATTCTATGAATCCATAATCAAGTGCTAACTCAGCATTACTCTTGTTTAGATCATACTGAATCAAAACCTGTTGAATTGTCTTCTCAATCAGTTCATACAGTTGAACATATTTCATATTATCATAATCCCTTAGTAGTAATGGCAATATGCATGTTCAAGTTAGTCATAAGCAAAAAGGGATAGGTGGTTGATACAAGCAAAATAAAGTGCCTTCTCAGATTAAGTTGATACAAGCAAAATGAAGATTCTTGTCAGATAAAATTGGAAAAACTCACCTGCTGTCCAGCCTTGACAGAAACAGGAGAACGCAAAGAAAACAGGAGATCCATAGAGAAATGTCCAGCTCCTTTAATCTCCCATGCATAATCTTCTGTAGTTATGCTAGGGCTGTGGTTGATCTGATTAAGTAATAAACAAGATTTGAAGAAAAGTTACAACATGAAACTAAAGGCAGCTAAAGACGTTATAAATAAGTTAAAGAGTGCAAATATCATGTTAGTTACTGGGAACAAAGATCTCCCATAGTAAAAGTAAAAGCCCCATGCTTGTATGTGACTTGGTTTATTTCTGACTATTTACTATTGTCGGTAAAATGTTTCATACGAGAATTCGATCGTTTTCTTTAACATCTGCAACATAATTTTGGAAAATGATAGAGCTTACCAAGTCTGCAAGAGGTATCAAACAAGATTTTGACCACGAAGACGGGAAAATGCCCTTGATCTGAGAATACCAAATGCCCGGAAGAAGTCATCCAATGTTATAGGGAGGGAAATAGCTGCTTGTTGGGGAGTATTATTTCTTCTTCTACTTTTAAGAATTCGTTCCGGACATTCTTTCACCCCCATTGTTGTGCTCAACAGTTGAGTACCTGTGCCATCGAACCCACACTGCTCATTGGAATATAGTATGAACTATGGAAACTGAAACAAGAAAATCTTCAAGTTAAATATATATATAGAACCTCTGAGGCGTTGAAATCTTCTTCAAATCAACGAAAAACTCTTTCTCTGATTCCAATTTTGCTTATTAAACATGAAATCACAAGTTTCTTAACAGTAACAGGTGAGACTATGAAAAGCTAACCTTGAAGCTCAGCTAGCTCCTCTTCTGACCTGCACTGGAACCATTAAAGCAACACTTTATCAACCCCCAAAGATCTAAATCCAACTAAAAACATAGAATTATAACCAAAGCTGCAGATTTAGAAAAGAAAATTAAAACCGAAACCAAGCCACACCAACCGAAACACAGTGGAATCCGTTGACTCTGGAAGTATATCGAGATAAACTTGCCATTGAGAATCTCCCCTCAACTTCTCCCTGATCAGGAGCAAAGCAAGCCATCCAAGGCTTAACCCACTACACATACTTCCAATCTCAGAAGCTGCAACTGCATCCTAGTCCACTTTCCTAAAAATGCCACTATTTATTAGGATATCGTGACGTTTGTCTAAAAACGTCGCTATATATAAAATATTAACGGTGTTTTTTCTAAAATCCCCACTCGAACCGCAGAAACAAATCTATTTTGCTGTAGTGAATGAGCTATATACTTAAATAAAATACATGCTTAGATGCAATGCATGCTTTAAAGAACAACACACTTGTTAAATGCTATTAATATTGTGCAAACTATAATTCTTATGCAAATTCATGCACAAGTAAAATATCATGCAATGAATAATATCATATGATAAGTATATCCAAAGAGGTAAATACAAACATATAGTAAAATATAATGCATAAATGAGCAAGTAAAGGATGTAATAAAGTAGAACTCTCTTTGAATCCTTCATGAAAAAAAGTTCAAGGTATGAAGAGTATATGTGAAATGATGGGGCTGGCTAAGATCACATCGTAAAAATTAAATCTGTTTACTAACGTGTCACATTATTAAACTAACAACAGCTAACGTCTTAGTGACTAAAACTTATATTTTTAGAATTAAAAAAAGGTAAAAATATTAAACGAAAGTGATTAATCTTATGGTTTAACCAATATCACTTCTTGATTAAAAGAATGATAAGCTCGGCAGTCTACATAAATTAGTATATATGAATTAGAGATGACAAAAAATTGTGTGATAGATTTGATTTGACATCATTTGATAGAATTATTTTTTTTTACAAAAATAAGTTTTAGATTGAAATGGATCAAATTATTTTTTTTTTTAAAATTTGATGGGATTAAATTATATTCAGATCTAGAAAAAAATTACTGTCTTATCCAAGATAATTATGCAAATATCCTTTTGATATCCTTGTATATATTTTTAGTTAAATTTTAATAAATAAATATATAAAATAACATATAAGATGTTAGAATTATAACATTAAACTTAAATATAAATTAATTTTAAATTATTAAATTAAATAAATAAATATTTTATTTAATTACTTCTATCTTAATAAAAAGTGTAACAAAATTATGTTAAACCAAATCAAATTTTTAATTAAAATTTTAAGTCAAATCTATTATAAATAAGAATGTTTTTAAATTTAACTCAAAACTAGAATTTATTATTATAATATTAATCAAATTCAAATCGACTAAAAACTTATCTTACTCAATCAATTGATATAGTGAGATGACACATTAAATTTTTTAAACAAGATAAAATATTCAAATTCTTATGAATGCATATGGAGGATCACCTTTATAATGAACTTTTATAAAATTCGATCTTAATTAATTGATTAATAGATCAGATACGAATAATTAATTAAAAAAACTCATTTTATAATTATCCCTAATTTCGATAAATTATTTTTAAAGGCGTATGTACACCTCCTTTACAGTTTTTATATAATTAATATATTTATTTTGCGTTATATTATGATCAACCTTGTAATATTCATAATTATTTTTTATTAATATTAACTCTAAAATTGAACTTATTTTCTTTTTTAGAAAATACATATTTCATCGAGAACTCAACCATCCGATCCTATCTTTATACATTTGTGTTGGGTTTTATATATTTTATATTATAATTTTGTTTAAAATATCTTGTTATGAAAATTAATATTTGGTTTGATATATTCAAAATTAATTTTTAGTACTTAAAATTTTTTTTACTAAAAATAAGTGCTTAAAATTTTCTCAGTTATACTTCTAGGTGCATATAATTTAAAAAACAGTTAAATGACATGTGTCATGTATATATTTTAAAAAATGTTTTAAAAAAATGTTTATTTAAAAAAAATCAAGACGTGACATATTTATTTTTAATAAAAAATTTAAATACTAAAATATTTTTTGAGATATTATTTAAACATTTATTTTTATGTTAAACATTAATATTTAGGGAAGCGTATGACATTGAATTTAAATATTAATTAACAATCAGACTCTAACCGAGGGACAGAAATCTATAAGCTACAATTCGTGGATACAGAGTGGCCAACACTTGTTGAAATCTTAACCAAATTAAATATAAAAGTTACCTGAAGTGCATAAAAGAATTACTATTCATATTAAAATTACAAGAAATATACATGTTGTAACAATACCAGTGGTCACTGAATTTAAAAGATCTTTTATTTTAGTAATCATATTTTACAGATTTTCATTTTAGTTGCCTGTATCAGATGATTTTATTTTCATTTTGATCCTTTAAGATTAGTTCAGGTTTAATTATACATATTACCATCTAACTGCATAAAAACTTTTGTTAACTTTTTCCATTATAATGATTTCGACACTCACTTGACTATCATCAATTCATTAAATAATTTAATATTTTAACCATAAGATATTCATTTAATTATTTTTTATTTGAATAGTTATTTGATACACAAATTTTATAAAAATAAATTTTATACAATCTGTTTATTTTTCTTATAGATTTTAAACCTTAAAACTCAAAACATTAAACTCAAAACCTTAAATATGTCGCGTGCCATTAAAATAGATATGCTTGTGCATGCTAAAATATACCAAAATCATATAGCAGATAAAAAAATTTAATTATCTTGTTTACTTATTCTTTTTATGTAATGATGTGAATTTTTTTAAATATTTGAACTCCAATTTAAATGAAAAGTTGAAATACAGTTAATGTAATTAATTTGAATTTTATTTTTTGTTCCAATTTTACCTTAAAATCTCTATCTTGAATCACATGACAAATGAAATTGTGTGGTGCAGTGATTATACATTTGATTATCTAAATTCATCTTTTTATATATTTTTTTCAACTGATAGCGTGATGGTAATTGACACGTGCTAGTAACAAAATTTACTCCCTTAACCAAAATGAAAATAGAAGTTAAGATTTGTGAATTTTTAAAACCTGACGACCAAATTATTCGTTTTAAAATGTTTAGTGACTACCGGTGTAATTTATCGTTTTCTAAGGACTAACTGTCATGTGTCTTGTAGTATTTGTATCCATTTGGGCCTGTCGCCGACTAATACAATTTTTTAAGATTAAAATAATATAAAGAAATAGCTATAATAATACCATACGGGTCACCTAATACAGAAAAGAGAAAATCGTCTCAGTGACCAAAAAAAAGTTATAATATACGATTTTAACCAACTTTTTTTGGATTTACTAAAATGACCAACAAAATCGCAACGCGAAATAAAAATCGCAACGCGATCCCCAGAATCGCAAATCAGTTTCCAAAATCGCAACGCGATTCTTGAAAATCGCAATGCGATAGTACAAATTCGCATTGCGATTTTCCAAAATCGCAACGCGAATATGAAAATCGCAACGCGAACACATAAATCGCAACTCGTATCCGTAAATCGCAACGTGTATCCGTAAATCGCAACGCGTATGGGTAAATCGCAATGTGTATCCGTATATCGCAACACGTATCCGTAAATCGCAACGATAATCCGTAAATCGCAACGAGAATCTGTAAATCGCAACGATAATCCGTAAATCGCAACGAGAATCTGTAAATCACAACACTGAAATTTTGGGTATATAACACTGAAATCATAAACTAAATCCCTAAATCGCAACTCATTCCATCTCCATCTATCACTCTCTCCGGCGACATCCGTTCCTATATCCAACGACATCCTTCCCAATCCGGCAACAGGTTTTAGTTTCGCAGCTCGTCTGTTTAGTAAATTAATTTACAACCATGAAATCATCTAATGTTGATCATGTTTGGATAGATTTGTGTTTTGGAGGGTCATGGGATAATGTTCATGGTGTTTTACAATATATGCCTTTACCCATGAATCTTCAACTAAAATTGTCTTTACAAAAGTTAACTTATGAAACTCTAATGCTACGTGTTTCAAATAAATTGAATTTAGAGCCCCTAAGTGGATTTAGGCTATCTTATCAGAGAAATGGTAAAGTTTATTTGTTAACGACAATGAAGATGTTGAACGATTCATTGCTTACATTAGGTTTCACAAGATGATGTTACATTGTATGTTGTTGAACCTAGAAGTAGTATTGTTGGGTCAGTAGCGGGTAGTAATCAACTAAGTTTTTCTCAAAACCCACAACCTTTCTCTAATCCAAATCCCAATCAACTTTCAGCACCAAATTCCGGTTTTCGTATTGACCAGTTACGACGATGAGCCAACAGAAAAAATTGTGAGTACTAGTCAGTATTCGAAATTTGGTCTTGGTCAATATCCGGACTTTGATATTGGTCAATACACGGATTTGATGATGTTTCAGAAGAAGAAACATACCATGCGTGAATGATTGATATTGGTCAATACCCGAATTTTGATGATGAAATAGCCGTTGCCGAAGAATGTATTGTTGATGATAATGAGGAGGAAGTTACGACTGTGAATGAACATGTTGAACATCCATTCTGTAATTCATATAATCCTGAAGAAGAAAAAGAAGAAGAAAAAGTCCCCGAAGAAAAGAAAATGCCACGGGCGTATAACTGGAATATGCCAGAATTACTTCAGATACCGGAAGAAGAGTTGATAAAGAAAGCAGTTGATTGTTACACAAAAGTTATTCGTATCAAGAAAGATGATTGTTTTGATACAAAGGAAGACTTGAAGATAGCTTTATATACGAAATGTGTGGAAGATGGCTATCAACTAAAAGTTAACAAATCAAGCAAAGATCGTTTCGAAACAAGGTGTATGATTGACAAAAACTGTACGTGGCGTATGATTACAAAGAAAAAAGATTGCAAAATGTTTCAAGTTAGGACTTTTATTGATAAACATACATGTTCAGAACCCAAGTTTTCCTCACC